AAAGACCACACATTCTAATGCCACGTGTCGATTAAAAATCAAATCATTCAAATCCTTCTCAATATGGATACACCAACAGAAACTTCCCACAAAAATCTTATATTTACCTTCCTAAAACAGACCATACTTAAAATTTCAACTAACACAACAAACAACACAAAATTCATTGATCATACAAACAAATTTGTTAACTTTGTTTGTAAATTTCCAATGATTCAACGGTTTGATCGGAGTGATCGCCGGATTCTGACATTTCCGGCTGTCCATCCATGTGAAGGGATATCTCCAGGGATACTTCTGGAGTCGCTAATAAATCTTTCTGGTAGGATATGTAGTTTCCGATCCAAATATATCCCAAGCCAAAGGAAAAATGCCCGCGAAGTGATTCGCCAAATTGGGATTCTTTTGATGTTTTTCGAGGAAATTCGAGAACATGTTCCTAGCTTGTCCAGCTCCTTTGTCCTCTGCTTTTCTGAACTTCATCTTACGTTTCAGAAAATTGAGTTTTTGTTGGAGGATTGCACGAGAGAAGGAGCTAGATTGTGGATACTGACGAAATCGCATTTTATCACGACTCAATTTCGGGTTTTGGTAAGAGCAATGGCTACTGCTCTTGATGTACTTCCACTGAAATCTATTGATTTGTCACGCGAAGTTAAGGAGCTCGTGGAATTAGTAGCAAAGCAATCACAGAAGGCAAAAGTGGAGATTGGTATTGAGGATGAGGAAGAACTGAAGAGGGTTATTGTGATATCGAATCAATTTGAGAACCGATTTGAGCCTGAGAGGTGTGTTATCAAGAAAGTTCTTGATTTTCTTGATATCAGAAGTTGGAATGATTGTCAAAAGGAGATTAAATTTTTAGAGGAAGAGATCAGATTGGAATTAAATGATGGAAATGTGAGAGAGTTGCCGTTATTGAGCAGTTTAGTTGGGCTGCTGTGTTATTCCAGGGGAGTTTTGTATGAGGATTATGATTATGGAAATTCGGATCAATCAGATGATGGGAGACATAGCTTGGAAACTCTGACTTGTTTGAATCCTGAGGACTTCAGGTGTCCCATATCATTGGAGCTGATGACTGATCCAGTAACTGTGTCAACTGGGCAGACGTATGATCGAATTTCGATACAGAAATGGTTGGGATCAGGGCATCTCATTTGTCCCAAAACGGGGGAGAAGCTGACAAGCACAGAATTGGTGCCAAATTCGGCTTTGCTGAAACTTATCCAGCAGTTTTGTGCTGATAATGGGATTTCTTTGGCTAAATCAAGGAAGAAAAATCGCGATGTATCGAGGACGATTGTACCAGGAAGTGCTGCTGCCGCAGAAGCCATTAGATTCCTTGCTCATTTCCTTGCTTGCCGGCTATGTTTTGGGACTGTTGATCAAAAGAACAAGGCTGCCTACGAGATTCGTTTGCTGGCAAAATCAAACATTTTCAACAGGTCTTGCATGATTGAAGCTGGAACTGTTCCCCCACTTTTAGGACTACTTAACTCTAAGAATCCATCTATGCAAGAGAATGCAATGTCTGCTTTATTGAAGCTGTCAAAGCATTCCAGTGGTACGAAAGAAATCATGGAGAATTGGGGCTTGAAATTGATTCTCAGAGTGCTCAGAAACGGACTCAAAATGGAAGCTCGACAAACGGCAGCTGCAACACTTTTCTACCTAGCCTCAGTTCATGAATATCGTAAACTGATTGGAGAAACACCTGATGCAATTCCAGCTTTGGTAGAGCTCATCAAAGATGGTGCTACTTGTGGGAAAAAGAATGCCGTAGTTGCGATTTTCGGGCTGCTTTTGTCCCACAGAAATCATCAGAGGGTGATTGCAGCAGGGACAATTCCAGCACTGGTCAATCTTTTAGCTATTTCAGAAAAAGTAGAGCTTACAACAGATGCATTAGCAGTCCTCGCAACATTGGCCGACAGTGTTAATGGCTCATCCAAGATTCTTGAATCTTCAGCCTTACCTACAGTTTTGGGGCTATTGCATTCAACAACATCTCGAGCAGGAAAGGAGTACTGTCTTTCAATTCTGCACTCTCTGTGCCTAAATTGTGGAGCAGATGTTATCTCAGTTTTAGCAAAAGATCAATCACTCATGCCTGCTCTTTATTCACTTGTGACTGAAGGAACAAGTCTTGCAGGCAAGAAAGCTCGATCCCTTATCAAAATCCTGCATAAATTCGGCGAAACAAGCTCTTCTGGTTCGATCAGACAAGTTCTGCCTGGACAGTTTGTTCATGTTCGGTAAAGCATGATAAACTTTCTTGAATTCAACACATTTGTATATATCCTTAGTGAACTAGATGGCTTTCCAATTTTTTTCTTCACACGGTTTGATTTTCCTGTAATAGCTCGAATTTTCAAGAGCTGAGACTTTGTAATTAATCATTCTTTATTTGCTTGTGATATACATACATATATATATAGAGCATACTTTGTAATCTCCTTTCAGAAAATTTTCCATAGTCTTCATTAGAATGCAAGGTTGATTATTATCAATGATAGCAGCAATCTTCAAAGCCTATACTTGCAAATAAAAGCTCAGTAGCACCCTCAACGGTATGAATATACAAACTACAGCTCCTGATACTTGTTAAGACTTAAATGAAGACCAATTTTGGAAGAATAAAGATGTATAAATTGGGTACAATTAATTGAAAATTAGTTCGCCAAATTTAAGGTGCTTTTCTGCTACATATATAATCCATAAAAATCACCTTTTCTAAGATTCAGTAAACTTGTGAACGTTTTGTCACTTTACCTGCGCTTTCTACTAACTTCAATTTTAAGCATTTTTGCTAGCAAGAATGAAGCTTCACATTCAATCCTTTTCGTTTCTTTGGTGCGCCATTTTCCTGTTTCTAGATCTGTTAGACAAATCTTTCATCTATCACGTTCTGATTTGACATTTTAGACAATCTCATAATTTGTTTGTTAATCATCAAAATTAAGAATAAAGACCTTAACGTCGTCTTCACTCTTACGTTCTAAAACAATCTCATGACTTATTTATCATCATTAAAATTAGCAGATTAAAGACCTTAAAGTCTTCACTCTACATCCTAAGTACTGAATTCCAATCATGAATGTGCATCCAAGAACATAGTTTCAAAGACAATCAAACATTGATTTTTAAACCCCATTGGTATCGATCGATTAGCCAGCCATAAAAAAGATCATTAAAACCATTTGGTATTTTTGTTGCTATACTGGTCTTTGCATTTGACTAAATGGCTTGATTGATACTTGATAGTAACTAATCAACATATGAAAAACAGTTAAGAACGCAATAGAATAGCTTTTCCAAAATTAAAATCTAGAATCAAGTCTTGAAAATCATTAGAGAACAAGGCCTAACTACCCTAACACAATGAACTTTTGCTGGAAACTAGTGTTAAGTAAACTTAGGTGCCGTTTGGTAAAAGAGGATTGGAATCAAGAACTGAAATAATACCAATTCTTGTTGTTTGGGTTACATGTATTGGATTCAAAATCTTGGAATAAATCATTAAAATTTGGTAGTTCTCAATCCCGTATAAATTGGAGGGTTTTGGAGGATTCCCAAATTTAACTCAATTTGACTCGAAAACTTCAAAAAAGAAAAGAAAACATATTGTCTTCATCATTATATGACGTTGGCACAACTTTCATGGCAACACCTTACCATCATGTTTTCTCTTTCATTTTTTCGTTCTCATCCCATCTTTCACGGCAGCCTCCCATCACCATCATTTTCTCTCTTTCTTTTCTCTTCATTCTCTCCTCCAATCCTCCATGGCAGCAGCCCCCCTCCCATTTGGTTCTCTCTCCTTTCTTGTCAATCTCTCTCTCATTTTCCCTTTTCTTCTCTTTTCACTCTCTTCCTCTCTCCTACAATCCTCCACGACAATCGCTCCTCTCCATCTGGTTTTCTCTCCTCTCTTTTTTTTTTCTTTTTATGTAAGTTTTTCTCTTATCTCTTGTCAATCGCTCTCCCATGCTCCACAAATTGTAAAGTTGATTGGTGGTGGTTCAAGAGAATTTGGTGAAGCATGAGTATTTAAAGGCTAGGAAGAAGGAAGCAGGAAATGGGAAAGAAGAAAAAAAAATAAAGACAAGAAAACGAAAAAAAATTGATTCCAAAAGCTTATAAGTATATACCAAACACTAGTTATTATAATGATATCCTTGATCAGAACCCATACTCAAATTTTGGTCATGATTCCAATTACAATTCCAATTCCTAAACTTGAATCAAGCATTCCCTTAGAAACGGAAAATGAAATAGATGCAACGGCTAAGTGGGAAGATGTATAAATCTAACAAAGTTTAGGGTAGTAGGGTTGATAAAAAGGGTACCAAAATTCAAGCTACATTAAAATTTTCCCTACATTGTGAGTAGTAATTTACTTCACAAATTTGTAGATCACTTAGTATAATCAACTTTTACCACGGAATTGGCACCTCTCGCGTGGATTCTCTTTCCATATTTTACAGTGTACATCTAGATGCATAACATGTTTTCATTATTAGGAAGAGACATAATCATTTTAAGTTCGACTAATCCTAACTCTTATTAATAAATGAAGATATGTACACTGTGAAAAATGAAGAGAGTATCCATTGAAGAGAAGTCAAATCCGCTATATAACAAATAAGTTACATCATATTTATCAGGCAAAGTAATTAATAAAATATTAATAAAGCCCCAAAAACTAGAAATGTTTCAATTTTACCTCCAACGAAAATGTTCTAAAAAATTTTCAACTTATACAAGCTTATATTTCCTTTTTTGATCATGCAAGATATTGTTAAAAGTCCTAATGAGTGATTATTCAGCTTCTTCATTAAAAAATATTCAGCTTCTCAACTCATTGGGAGCATGATTGTTGATTTACAATCAATAACGGTATTGTCAATAAAGTTAGGGTCAATTTTAATGTATCATAAGAGCCAAATTACAACATTTTCACTTTTAGGAGCTTAATTGAAAACTTTTGCTCCTTTTTAGGGCCAACAAAAAATTATTCAATCTAGAATAACCTTTAGGGAGGAGGAGAGTGAGAAAAAAAACATTTTTGGATTTTGCAAAAAGAGTATATAAACTTGCTTATGACCTAATTCCTTTCCCCATCTACAAGATTCCTCCAGATTTTTCAGGTACGCTCCTCTCAAAACCCTAGCCCCCCTTCCGCTTCATTCAAAACACCCCGTTCTCGACTACCTTACTTCGATTGGATTTGCTGTGCTAATCTCTGGTTCTTCTTTATCCGATCTTTTTTGGTTTTAGGATCGAAGAACCAAGTATACGCTGGTAAGGTAATTACATCTGTCTTTTATTCGATTCATTTTTCTTCGTATTTCCATATTTTTACATATTTTAAGGATGCTCTGATTTTATATTTCTCCAAATTCCTCTTCGCGGTGATGGAAGTCATACGTTCGTTTCATTTGCTCGATTTTTGCTTGCAGTCTCGATGTCTGTTGGTTGTGTTGACTGATATATTAACTAGTTAGCTGATTAGTTGATTATTTGGTTTGATTTTTTCGATTTGTTTATTTATTTTCTGAACTAGGGCTTTGATGGCAACATAGGTTATTTACCCACGATCTGTACATTTCTTATATTTATGAAAAATTTGATGTGTAGTTTTGCTTTGAGTGACTGACAATGGCAACTACTGAGCAACCAAAGGCAGCTACCGAGGACGCGAAGATTGATCTTTTTGAAGACGACGATGAATTTGAGGAGTTTGAAATTGATCAGGGTATGTCAACTCCCTTGCTTGACTTTTTACCTCTAATCACTGTCCAGTTTCTTGTTGTTCTGATTTCAGCGTAATCTTCGGTTTTTTTTAGTCAAAGTAAATACTTTGAACATTTTTATTTCCGCCTGTTTGATTGGTTTTTGCTATATGAATACGTGTTGTCTGCACAGTAGATGAATATATGGCACTGCAAAGTGATGTCATAGATAGGTTAGGTTATTGTGTTGTATATATTAATTACCGAATGCAGTTTGTTTCGAGATTTTGATGCCTGTAAGATGTAAATTGATTCTTGGTGATTCTATGTTTTTTTTTTCTTGTGTGAGACTGTTATTGTTAATTAGTATTTTACATGTATCAAAGAATTTTTCTTCACCTGGATATTCTGGGGAAAGAGTTGCAATGAAGATAGAATAGGAAATCAAGTGATTTAGCAAGATGTTCTTGCAAAATGTGAACCTCTTTCTATTGGTTCGTATTCACTGAGCACTCTCTTTTTCCCTCTTTCTTTTTGAATACCATTACAAATTCTAAAATCTTACATTTTCACTCATGATTCACCAACTACAAAACTGAAGGTCCTATGGACGAGATGTAATTCAATTCAATGCATTCTTGGCCAAGTTTGCCTTCGGATAGCATAGCTCTGGAACCCCAGATCTGCGACTTGGATTCATTCTGATTCGGTCGTTTATGCAGATCTATCTTTTCGATTCCTACATCTATATGTATATGTATATTGTCAACCCTTGGAATAATAATTGTGAAGGTCCCAGCGGAGGGGTAAAGAACTCTGCAAATTGAGGCCTCTCTAACGAGTTGATTCAAAACCTTCGCAAATTTACTTATTGGCTGAATCGTAGGATGCTCCAAATGATTCTCTATTTTGGTGCTTCTGGAACCCTCAGCTATATATATGTTGATCTTGATCCCTGCCGGTCCCTTTCTTCCTCCCTTTTGCTTGTGCGAATGACCACTTCAGGACTTTTAGCCCTTGGCCTTCAAAATGGCTAGGCATTCATGACTAGCCAAAGCCTCCCAAACATTTGACACCCCTTCCTCTGTTTCTTTTTATGAGCAGCTTAACGTGTCTGGGTCTGCATGTACGCATGTTTCAGTGTGTGTGTGTGTGTGTGTTTTAGACTTATTCCAGGTCTAGTAATAGTGTTCATGGTGCTTCTGGTGAGGGAGGGTCTGTAGATATGTTATTTGTAGCATGTTTCTTTGTGAGCACTGAAGGGGAAAAGAAAGGAAGGGAATGCGGAGGAGGGAGGATGCCAGATGTTTTTCCCTTTATCTGGGTTGTCTGGAGTAGTGAGTCATGATAAAGTATTGCATAAGAAATTAAGTGATTTTGTTGGATGTTCTTGCAAAACATGGACCTTTCTGTTGGTTCGTATTTTTACTCAGGACTCTTCTTTTCCCTTTTTGTTTATTTTATTACAATTTCTCAAATCTTGCATTTTGACCTGCAAATCACCAACTACAAAAGCAAAGGTGTTATGGCTAAGATGTCATTCAATTTCAAGCATTCTCAGCCAATTTACCTTCGTATAGCATAGCTCTGGAATCCCAGATCGCCGTCTTGGATTCACTCATATTTGGCCTTTTATGCTGATCTATTTTTCTTCTTTCTCATGTCTATATAATCTTTCCCTTTTTTTGTCAATTCTAGGAATAGTAATAGCAAAGGTCCCAGTGGAGGGGTAAAAAAGTAAAAAACTCTGGTAATTGAGGCCCCTCTAACAATTGAATGTAAAACCTTTGTAATTTTGCTTATTGGGCCGAATTGTGGGATGTACCAATTATCCTTTGTTTTGGTACTTCTGGAATCCTTGTCTATTGATCCTTCTGGGTGCCAGCCCCTTTCGTCCTCTGATTCTAGCTGCAGGCCCCTTTCTTATGCCTTTTCCTTCCTCTGCTAACCACCACTGCAGTATTCAGCCACCTGCCTTTCAAGTTGGTTAGACCTTCATAATTTCCCAAGCCTCCCGAAACATTTGATACCCCATTTCTTTTATGAACAGGTGAACATGTGTAGCCTCTGCATGTATACATTTTGTGTGTGTTTTGGTGCGTTTGTGTTGTGTTGTGACATTTCTAACTCTGTTATTAGTGTTTTTGGTTCTTCTTGTGAGAGGGAGGTCTGTAGGCATGTCTGTTTTAACGTGTTCCTGTGTGAGCATTGAAGGGGTAAACGAAAGGAACGGGATGTGGCGGAGGGAAGATGTCAAATGTTTTTTCCCTTTACCTGGATAATTTGGAGTAGGGAGTTGCAATGAAGATAGCATAGGAAATCTGAGTGATTTTGTGAGATATACTCTCAAAATGTGAACCTCTTTCTATTGGTTCGTATTCACTGAGCACTCTCTTTTTCCTTTTTTGTTTATTTTATTACATTCTTAAATCTAACTTACATTGCTGTTCGACTACAAGTGAAGTTCCTATGGACGAGATGTAATTTAATTCAATGCATTCTTGGCCAAGTTTGCCTTTGTATAGCTTAGCTCTGGAATCCCAGATCGCCGACTAGGATCTACTCCAATTCGGTCCTTTATGCAGATCTATCCTCTCTTTTTTTCCCACATCTATATAATCCTTTTTTATTAATTGTAGCAATAATAATGGTGAAGGTCCCAGCAGAGGGGTGAAGAACTCTGGAAATTGAGGCCTCTCTAACAATTTAATGCAAAACCTTCGTAAATTCACTTATTCGGCCGAATCGTAGGATGCCCCAAATTATTCTTTGTTTTGGTGCTTCTGGAACCCTCGGCTAAATACAAATTGATACATCTTCCCCCCTTTTCATTACTATGCAAACCACCAGTGCAGGACTCAGCCCCTGCCTTCCAAAGTGGCTAGATTTTCATCACTTCCCTTGCCTCCCTGACCATTCGAAACAGGTATTGTGTGGGTCTGCATGTATGTATTTTCTTGTTGTGTTTGAGTGTGTTTGTTTTGTGGGCATATTGAACTTTGTTATTGATGTTCATGATGCTGCTTGTGAGCGGGAGGGTCTGTGGTTATGTTGTGTGTGTGTGTCCTTTATTTTTAAAAATAATTTAAAGCACTGAAAGGGGAAAAGCAAGGGCTTGTAGAGGGAAGATGTGTTTACCACAAAAACGAAGGTCCAATTGATGAGGTGTAATTGAATTCAATGCATTCTCTGCCAAGGTTTCATAGCATAGCTTTTCCCCCTTCAGTTCAATTCGGTCTTCTATACCCATCTATTTTTCTTCTTTCTCATATCTGTAGTCTTTTTTTGTAAATTTTTAGAATGATAATTGCAAAGGACCTAGAGGATGGCTAAAGAACTCTGGAAGTTGAGGCCTCGCCAACAATTGAATTGAAAACCTTCATAAATTTACTTAATGTGGCCATATCATAGGATGCCCTAAATTATCCATTGTTACAGTGCCTCTGGAATCCTTGGTTATAAATCGATCCCTCTATCTGCCAGCCCCTCTTTTCCTACCTTTTCCTTCCTCTATGAACCACTGTTGCAGGACTTTCTGCCCTTGCCTTTTACAATGGCTAGGCTTCCATTACTTCGAAGCCTCCCTGACCATTTGACACCCCTCCCTCTTTCTTTATATCAACAGGTCAACCAGTGTGGGTTTAGTTCAGTGTGTTGAGTTGGAGTGTGTGTTTCTTTGTGAGCACCAAAGGGGGAAAAGAAAGGAAGTGGATCCAGAGGAGGAAAGATGCCAATTGTTTCTCTGGTTACCTGGATATTCTGGATAAGAAGGGGCTTTTTTTTTGTTGGGGGGGGGGGGTTCTTTCTGTCAAGTGCATAATTATTGAGTCTGAGACAGGTGGACCCTTATCAAACTGCCCCCACGTTGGAGCTTAATTGTTGTTTATCTTTAGGGCTATATTTGTTTGGCCAAGAAAGTTCTGAAATGTATTTTGCTCTTAGGGTATGTAGAGTAACCATTGTTACTTTAGGTTGTTTTAACGGCTGTTTGAACTTCTTATTTGTTCTGTTTGGCTCTCTTGTTATTCTGTAGCTGCTTGCTTTTATTTTTGATGTTTTGATGTAAAATGCACGCAATGAGGTAAATCTTGACACGTATGATAAGTTTCACTCAATTGAGATTCTCATTCAATTCCTCATGCTACTAAAGTTTCACATGTAATTTCCACTTTCTTGCAGTTTTGCTGGTTAGTGATTTAGCAGTATTATTTGGAATTCTTTGTTACTATTAAATATGTGTGTTTTGGTGATGATAACGAAGATTCTGATCTTGCATAGGTTCATTAGACGTTGTCTGCACTTGTATTTTAATCGTTTCTTCACTTTATTGTGAAATGGCAGAGTGGGAGGACAAAGAGGAAGGCAAAGAAGTAACCCAGCAGTGGGAAGATGATTGGGATGATGATGATGTAAATGATGACTTCTCGCTGCAGCTTAGGAGGGAGCTGGAGAGCAACAATGAGAAGAACTAAGCTAAGTGTAGAGATGATTGTTACTATTTCTGACACTGTGCCTTGTACCCTTGCTTAAAGAGTAATGGAGATTTGATGAATCTTAATGCGCCAAGTTCATGATCTGGAGTTTTAATTATTTTTTCTCTTAAAGGAAAACTTGCAACTAAGGTTTTTCTGACGCATATGGCAATACTTTGGTCAGAACCACCCAAAAAAAGATAAAAAAAAGGAAAAGATAAAAGATGGACACTTTGTAGAATGCTTTCGGGAAGCACCTCCTTTGTTGGATGATTATCTATATGCTGACGAATAATACAACATAAACCAAAGAATGGCAAGAGCTCTACCTCTATGGTTTTCTCTTCTACAGAAATGGGTACCTTGTTAATTGTGGGAGTGTGCGAGCTCCGTAGAACTGACTGCAGAAAAGACAGTTTGATGTTCAACTTTCAGCTTGGTTGTTTGGTTTGTAGTTTTCTCATAAACAGCCAATGGGCACGTTTTTATTTTATTTTCAGGAGTATGAATGCATCTCTTGGCGTTTTAAGCCGGCAAAACAAGCTAATGTTCAATTTTCTGGACACTGTAGTTGCTTTTACACCAATCACTGCAATGACAAGGCCATTTTCTTTGGGGTTTTGGAAGGTAATGTCCCTGGAATATGGTTAAAAGCTTTCTTCTTGGACTGGAGAGATCTTAAACATTTGGACTTCTAGGTTCCTGGGTTTATGATATATTACTAGAGCATTTTAATGCAGCCTTTATATGATAAATATGTATGTACGTAAAACTGCTTAGATTAGCCATCTCTAGACGAATTTATTCGAGAATCATGTGATGTACTTTCTCAAATATTATTTGTAGACTAGTTTTAACTAGGTGTGGTCTCATCATGGATGCATGTCATTTTGTGAAGGATGAAAATATTTTTCCTCCCTTTCGTTTTGAGATATGACATTTAAGGTGGCTCTTCAATTTTCTTTAGCTATTGTTTGGATGCGAAGGATCTTATTTGAAAGTGAAACAAAGTCAAGTCATGTTTCCTCCTGCTTATATGGTTCTAGGGAAATTGAAAGACTGATTTGTCTCGTCACTTTATTCCATTTTGTATCTTTCAAAGTTTTGAAGGTTTGCAAAAATAGTTTTAGTTAGACAGAGTGAACCATCAACTGTTGGCCTTTCAGTTTTCTTATCTGTTTTGAAACAAAAATGTTCTGCTAATTGAATTTTGTTACCAACTTCAGAATTTGAATACATATTGTCATGTGGCTACGAAGTGCATGAAGTCCTAAGTTCCATTTCTGGACCCTATTCGAGCTAGTTTGACTGCAAACAGCTCTCATTTGCATGACTTAGCAGTGAAGAAGACAAGAGAGTACTCTAAATCCCTTCAAACGTTTGATGTATCTTTATGAATCTGATCATCTTTTTTAACACGCCATCCATTGTGATGTGCAAGCTTATCAGGGAGCATATCAAAATTGTCCCGTTGCGGGGTTAATGAGACAAATTTGTCAAAAAAAAGAAAAAATCAAACAACTATTTCTAAAGCAGTAGCATTTTCAAGTATGAAAGACCCAACCTTCGCCACATTAAAATTTTGCGCGTTGCGATAATGAAGTATTTCAGATTGCTTGAAATATGTTTGGATAGAGTATTATTTGAAATATTATTTGGAATAATTACTGTAGCATTTTTTGTGATTTGATGTATGAGAGATAAAAAGTAGTGGGGAATATAAGAAGGTGGATTGAAAAATGTGTTTATGATGCAAGCGAAATATTATTTGAAATAAATTTGCAATCCAAACACATTCTGGTGGGCGTTTGAAATGATTAGGATCACGTCGTGGTCTATCCATGATTCTACTCTTAAGCTTTTCCCCGTTCCCTTGATCCCTTTCCTTTTAAGCCTTATAAGAAGGTTTAGAGCTTCTTTAGATCTTTAAGAAAAGGCCTCGTTATGAAGTATGAGCGAAACACAAAAGGCTTTTGGACTTTGTATCTGTTGTCTCTCCTATTTGGTTGGAAATCTCTTCTTGGATGTTGACAAATATGCAAGAAGAACAGCAGTAGACTCTTAGTTTGTCCTGCGAGTTGAGTGTACACGGGCAAACACTAGATGGATACGATTGGTAAGTAGTTTTATAAGATCAATAGAAGTAGTGAACGCATAGACCTTTAGATAATTTCTGTACACCCTATTGCATGAATGTATTTTAAACCCTTTGTCTTCAGTTGTAGCATTAGCATAATAAATTTTCTTCTTTGATGTTGTGCTTGTAAAATAACTCTCTAGAAGACACGCATATGTTGGCTTCAGACATCTGTAGACTAGATATGTCTTCTAGGATTTTGCACGGGCTTTTTTATGAAAGTTTGCTTCTTGACACTTTGGATGATTTTATTTACTGTACAAGTCGAATAATCAAGCCAAGGATCTCAAGGTTGATTTGGATGCAAGGTTCTGAGGTCGCTATTGCATAGCCCTTCCAAATTATTAATCAGATTTCACAACTTTAAAATCAACCTAGGTCTAACCTTTGGATCCCAAATAAATACAATATACATAAAAGAAAAACAAAGTTGATTCCAAACGATAGGAGAACAATTTCGGTTGCTTGACAACTTATTACAAACCAGGGACACTGCGGTTAAGACTTCGGGGTTGCTGTGGATGCATATAGGTGATGTGTATTTTTCATGAGATTTGGTATACACTAACATAATGTTGTTGTCCTGTTACGAAAGTTGATTTACATAAAACTGTAGTAGCCCCATATGGTATTGCTGTACGTACAACTATACCGTATACCAATTCATCACACATAAACAAATTATTAACTAACTGAAACTGTCCCAAGTTCACTTACCAATCCATGATTAAGAGGAGTTAATCTTGTGTAGTTACTTATATCATGGATGAGTTGATCTAGAGTTTCCCATGAGGAACCACCTTCTCTCATTGCATCACAAGCAGCTTCTCCAACCTCTTCCATCTTTTTCCTTGCGGCCTCCCCTTTTGTTCCTTGCATCAGTTCTTTCACTCTCTTCTCCACTTCCGATGACTTGACAAAGCCCCTCACTGATCCATTGCATGGCATAATTCTCAGGCCTACACCAACCTCCTCCGATACAAGTCTTGCATTCAGATGTTGCTCAGCCATGAATGGCATCGCCAAGATGGGCACGCCAGCTGACATGCTTTCAGTAACTGAGTTCCATCCACAATGGCTCAAGAACCCTTTTACACTCTCGTGCCTAAGTGTCTCCATCTGATCTACCCATTCTTTCACTATGATCCCTCTATCCTTCACCCTTTCTTCAAACCCTTGCAAGATCTCCAGCCGTTTTGATTTTATGACCCACAAGAAATTCACCTTAGATTGTTCTAGACCATTTGCAATTTCAAGCAGTTGCTCTTGGGATACTTCAGCCTGAGTTCCAAATGCCACGTACAAAACTGACTTTCCATTGTGCAATTTTTTGTCAAGCCAGTGCCTCCACTTTGGCTTTGCAGATTCTTCAGCTAATAATACTGGCGGCTTGGCTTCCGCTAGAGGACCAACACACCAGGCTTTGGGTCCAAGGCATTTGTTCCAGAAGTCAGTATAGGCTGCTTCAAGCTTGTAGAAGCTGTTGAGAATCATGCCGTAACTTTTTGCCATTGCAATACTTTGCTCTGTAATGAACTCAACCATCGGACCTTTTGGTTCAATTTCATTGAATGGTGGATTGAAATCATTTCTTGTCAAGGTTAGTTTAGGGAAATTTGGGATGGAAAAGGGCTCATCAGGTGACATAGTAAGTGCATGTGGCCTTTCTTGGCCAATAATCGCATACATGGTAGTAGCAAAGCTGCTCATTCCATAGAAACCAATTCTTGGAAATCCTAGCTTTGCGCCAGAATCTTGAGTCCATCCTAGAAATCCATCAGATATTATGCAGCCAACGGGTTTGAGATCTTCAAGTGCCTTCTCAAAATGTGGCTGCATGAGTTTCGTGGCATTTGCAAATTGAACAAATAGTAACATGGATGGAAGTTTATCAGTATTTTCAACCCCTGGAGGGATGCCATCAACATGTGCTGGGAAAGGTAGTTCAATAATTGAGATGGCAGTGTCATGGAGAGTAGCACGGATTGATGGAGAGTTAGCTGGGGTGGTGAACACCGTGACAGCGACATTGCGCTGCCAGAGAAGGCGAGCAAGGTAGAGGAGGGGGATAGTGTGGCCTTGAGCCATGAAGGGGAATATTACAAAATGTGGGGAGGAAATGGCAACCATCTTTTGCAGCGGTTGCTGGCTTCTTTGTTTGTTGTTTTGATTTTTTGGTTTTGCAGTACAAAATGCTCCTTTTTATAGGAGTAGTTCTCTCATTCAGGAGTATACTGTAATGCAGAATGTAAAAATAAAAGAAAGAATAATTACTGAAGTAGTTTACCGGCGAATTTATTCAATTATTAAATGTTAAAATTCTATGTTCCAACTCTTACTAAGTTTGTGAACTTAACAAGAGAAGTGATACAGCAATAACATGCAGTTATCGAGACAAGAATATAACGTCGCCGAGACAGGAAGTTCAATATAACTTTCATTGTTTGTGATACTAAAACCAATGGAGAGGCGAAGGAAGGACGACAGAAGAAGAGTATTTTTGACCGCTTGTTCAAGGGGAAGAGACCACTACAAGGAAAAGACTTCACTGCAAGAAAGAGCATGTTTGACCGCTTGTCCAAGGGGAAGAGTCCCTCCATTTCTTTTCCTTTCCCTCCTATTCCCTCAAAACAAGCAGTGCCTAAGTGAACATATCATTGCTATGCCCTGATTCCTATTCAGTGATACTTAGCAAGAGACTGAGTCCTTGTATTGTGAAGTAATATTCTCTGTGAGAGGGGATATGGTGAGTAGCCTTGATAATGAATGCTATCTCTTCTAGTTTGACAATCAAGAGTCAAGACATGCATAGACAAACACTAGCACATTAATAGTTTGGTTTGAATAGTACACATGCAAACTTCTCTATTCTTTTTATTTTTTTGACACAGGGGTGTCCGGGTCAATCCTTACTTGGCCCGACTAATCCCCTGCAGCCCGGGCTCGGCGCCCCAACCCGGCCTGAACACATTAAGTGCGCGGAGGAATCCAGCGGAGCGGAGACTCGAACTTGTGACCTCAATGTTCACTGGTGAGAGGCACTGCCGCTGGACCATTCACGCGGGGCACAAACTTCTCTATTCAATTGCCTCCATCTGAGAGTGTCTTAAAGGACAAAATCTGTAATCTAGGCTTTAATTTGCTTTGACAACATCGCTTACCTCCACGAAATATATAACTTTGTGGAAGTCTAGTTGACCTTGATCTCCGTGTCCAAGTAGAAACATACAAGATTTAAATAATTTTCTATGTTAACAGACATTATTTTTTCCTTTGTGTTTTATCCAGTGACCACATATTGTTTGTGCTTGTGTCTTTTTTTTTTTTTTTTTTACCAATATATATCTTCCTTGACATAGGAAAGAAGATATGAAACCAATTGAAATGCTTGGCACGAAGTATCTAAGAAGATATGAAAAATTTAAGATGGACACCTTTATCTTGACATCAATTTCGACGAGGACTTCTTGTTGAAAAAAAATATATGTGTAAGAGACTTGGAAAGAAGAACAATTGAAAAGTCCTTGAAACATATAGGAACAATTGAAAATAAACCTAAAACTTGGGAATTGACTAAGGACTATGTTAGTTAGTACAACATTAAAAGTAACATTGGTATTTTATAAATGACTAAATCCACTTTGTACCCTATAATTCATGATGGATTTGCACTTTACACAATCAATTAGAATACATTGTACCCTAAGTAGCCATCCAACTTTGGTTTTTTATTCAGGAAATTCACGAAATTATATGTGATTGCAAACCTATCGATCACGGTTA